TAAATTAAAGTAAGATTACTCGGATCTTACATTTGGCGCGGTCGACGAAAAACTTTGTCGACTAGACTTCACTGAAGTTTTTGAAAAAAAGTATTTTACAAGTCACTCTGTGCTGTGTGAGTGGACTTTTTATTTGATTGGATTTTATTTAGTCACTCTGTGGTGTGTGAGTTGACTTGCTCTATGGTGTGTGAGCCTATTTTGAAAAAGAAATTTTTTTGAGCTCTGTGGTGTGTGAGCCAAATTGAATTAATTGCTCGGTGGTGTAAGAGCATTTGAATTTGTTAAAAAAAGATTCTATCCGTCAAAATGTCAGATTTTGATGAGAAATTTTTTAGCAAAGAGGAAAACAAACAATTTGGGCCAATCTTGGTAAGATTGAGAGAATTTGAAAAATCTGTTGCACATTCCCTCCGTGAAATTAATTCGAATTTGGAGGAGTTAAATACGAAAGAGAACCAAACAAAAAATAGCTTAACAGCTACAAAAGGTTCTATAACTAAAATGAGTAATAAAATTTGGGAAAAATTAAAAGAAATTGAAAATAAATTAAATGATAATACCCAAGATGATTTGGAGGCCTCAAATAATGATGAGTTTCAAGAAACATTCGAAGAGCCAGAAATTGCTGTTTCTGACCCATTTCTAAATAATGGAGTTTATGTTGGAAATTTTGATGGTAATCCAACAGTCTCGTTCTCAAAATGGATTGAGAAATTTGAAGATGTCCTATCGTTAGTTACAACGCCGCTGACTGAACAGCAGAAAATACTTCGCCTTCGATTTTGTCTATCCGGCCAGGCGCGTGTTGCGTTAGATACAATGCAACCACAACCTGAGAATCTTGCTGTGGCAATTGCTAATCTTAAAGCTAAATTTGAAAATGGTAATACGAAAGTAATTGCTAGACAAAAACTAAGCAATTGCCGTCAGGCACCTGGCGAGTCAGTTTTTGATTTTGCTAACCGCCTTTCAGATTTGGTGAGGACCGCATTAGTAGGAGAGACAGAAAATACAATTAAAAATAGCCTCCTATATGAATTTTTGGACAGATTAATTCCCGACTTAAAATTTCAAGTTAAGTCGCAGCGTCCAACGGAATATACTAATGCTTATGAATTAGCCTTGCATTTTGAATTACTTTTGGCTGAAAAGAAGCCTGATACTAGTGTTTGTTTGTCAAAAGTGGCTGAGGAAGTTGAATCACTAGTATTTCAGAGAAATCATCCGAAAACCTGCTTTAATTGCAAGAGTTCAAATCATCTTGTCAATAGTTGCCCTAAACGGAGAAATAATTTTAATAATAATCATATAAATAATTCGAATGGATATAGACCGAATTACAATAAAGATAATCGGTATGACAGTAGAGAACGCTGTGATTACAGTAGCCCCAGTTATGGAGATAATCAGAATTATAGCGGATACCAAGATTATCCAGACCATTATGGCGCAAGCCATAATAGAAATTATCAAAATAGAAGCGGATATAGAGAGTATCCAGATAGCCGATCGCCTAGTAGGGAGAGGATCAGGATCAATCGTGATTATGAAAATAGTTACGGATATAGCAAATATCCAGACAGTCGATCACCTAGCAGAGAAAGATATGATGGAGAATTTCGCAGACATCATAGTAATTATTTACATTCGCGAAATACTAGAGATTATATTTCACCACACAGCTCCCCAAGCCGTGTGAGATATGACAGAAGCAGTCCTGACTTCAGAGCGTATAGTCCTTATTTCACCGCCGTTATAGAGGCATGTGAGTATAAAATTACTAGGCAGAATTTGAAAGAAAATAGTTCAAATAAACTGAAAAGTAAGTTGCCACACCAGTTTCTAAATAGTGTGAGATTTAAAAATATAAATAGCATAAGGATTAATAAATTAAAAGAAAGAGGAGTGGAAGTTGAAAATAAATCGAATAATCATACAGAATCCCTCGCCGAAATTGCCATCTCTAAAAGAGATGAGAAAGAATCTCTAAAAGAGTTGAAAGAAAATAGTTTAAATAAATTTAAAATTAAGTTGCCACACGAGCATCCAAAAAGTGTGAGATATAAAAATATATATTCTTCTTTGGATAAATTTAAGCCGATCAGTTGCGGAGCAATCCGAATCTTTAAAAACTAATTTCCGCACAAATTGATCGAGGATTGAATCTATTTGTATTTTAATTAAAAACAATATTTCCCATCTCTCTTGTAATTTATTCCTAAACTTTCCCTTTCCACTCATACTTAATTGTTTATTTAAATTTTGTCATTCACATACTCTGTTTTCCCAATTTAAAATAATTTTCTACTAAAAATCAATTTTGGCTACAACACATAAAACCAACCCTGTCTACAACAATACAACAATAAAGTTTGGAAACAACAAATCAAAATTCTCCTAAAGAACAAATCTTCTATAAAGAACAAATCTTCTAATTCAAAAAAAAGAAAGTCCTCCTATGGATATGGAGAGAAAATCTATAATTTAAAAAAAAAACTGATATTCCCTAAAAGGAGATTGTAAATTATGTGATTATATAGACAGTCCTAGCCTTTTCTTTAAAAATATAGAAAATTAACCACAAAAAAATGTGAGATTAAGCACAATTGAAAATAGTAGATGAGAAACGCCTATTATAGGTAGATCCTGCGAAATCGCACGAAAAATTTAAATAAAATTAATAGCATTACTCTCTATTAATTCTTGAGGAAAGTTTACACATTTGTCCAATGTGAAAATAATCTAGCCGTGCCATTGCACGAGATCGCTGGAGCCCAAAATAAAGACTACTCTAATCATAATGGTGAATCATCTCATGCCATTGAAGAATTTCTTTAAAGGAGGGAGGAGTGTTGAGTCCATGATTTTAGAAATTTATTTAAAATATCCTTTTACTTATTTTTAAATGTTTTCCCCATTTATTCAAATTATGCTTTTGCCTCAAAACATTTTCCCATCTTATCATTTATAATATTTAATATTCTGGTTGGCATTTCTCTTTCTTTATACAAAAATCCCTTTCATCCTAACCTCTTTTCCCTCTCAAATATTCAAATAAATGTCAATCAAAATACTAAATATTAACCCTTTTCTTAACCTCCATTTAATAATCGTCCGCCCCAATTTCCCCATATATAAACTAAAACCCTGTACCACACACACACATATATAATATATATATTTGAACTTTAAATTTAAATTAATATTTGTTGATAAATATTCTTAAAAATAAATTGATTAAAGTCCTCAATTAAGTTTGAGAGTAAAATAAAATAAATTTAAATTAAAGTAAGATTACTCGGATCTTACAACTTTGAAATTATAACAATCAGTGATAACAACTAACAACCATTGCTAGTTCTAGCAAAAAATTATTAACAGATAAGCAAACGCAAAAGCATGGGAAAATTGCATTTATACATCAAACCTAATTTCCTATGCTAATTTTCTTGTTAACTGATACAGGATCTTTAACTGACTTGCTCCAAACCCGAGCCAAAGAAAATTTTGAAAGGTCGACTCGAAACTAGATCCGAAATTTTTCTCTAACGGATACATACATCCATGGTGCTTATGCAGGCATTGCTTAAAACATTTAAAGCGCTTTGATCCTATGATCCTATATTGTTAATAAATAAATAAAAAATAATCTCATATCGTTTAAGAACTAATCTTTTATTAAAATTATTTTTAAGAAAATACAAAAATTGAAACTAAATCAGAAAGAATCTGATAAACAGATAGAAGAAGGCTTATCAAAAAGTAAAACAAAAAATCAAACAATTTATTTCAATAATACTTGTAAATATCCCAAAACTAAATGTCAGGATCCTCTAAACAAAAAACGTATGTTTTTTAAACATTTAAATCTGAGGTTATTAGTGTTTTCCTGTTTAAATAATTATTTCAAAATTTTCTTTTCTCTTTCTCTCGCTCGCTCGCTCGCTCTCTCTCTTCATTGTTTATGAAGAGCGAGAGAGAGAGAGAGAGAAAATTTTCTTTTATTTTTACTCATTAATTTTTGCCTGTTAATCGTCGATTGATTATCCACTCAATTCTCGACTGCCTTTAACGACGATTGCCATTACCCAATGCTTACTGATTGCCAATCCATTGATTTATTAATTTATTTAGCTATATTAATTAATTTATTTATTAAATTTTATAAATTATTATTTAATTTATTTATTTATAATTAATTTCTCTCTCAATATTGTTCCTATTTTGCAAATTTTCTATTCAAATAAAATTTTTTGGGCATTAAAAACCGCCTACAAATCTAAGAAAATAATTTTTGAATAAATTCTATAAACTAAGAACCTGAAATTCGAACAGAGTTCAGTCGTTATTACCAGTCCATTTTTAACTAGGAATAAACCGAAGGAGGTCATTTTTACACTATAAATCACCCTCCCCTCATACACACTAATCCTATTATTTTTGTTTGATTGCTAATTCTCAACATTTTTATTTAGTTCAGGATGCTTATAAATTTTATTACATTATACATTTTATTATTTTTTGATATTCCATTAACAATTGAAGAATGTTGTAAGTATCTGCCATTTAATTCTTTTACTAGTAGCGAATAAAAAATTTAAATTTTTCTTTATACAATAATATTGTTTCTATTTGATATGTATATGTGTTTTGGGTACGAATTCACGTAGATAGGGTTATCGGTTCCTGGTAATTCTTCGGATATCCGAAACCGAACTGAAGAACCGAACCGAAAAATCCTCAGTTTTTCGGTTCGGTTCTATCCAGAACCGACAACATAGTAGGGTTGAATTCCTACACATGGGTTATAAAGTTGGGGATGGATTCTAGGTTAAAATCTGTATCAAGGTTCGGGGTTCGAGTTCAACTCATATTTTACTATATGCAAAAGTAAAAAATATTTAAACATTTGGTCGAACTCGAGTTGGAAAATAAATTCTTCATTATTTTTTTCAGCGTTAGACGATGATTATGTTAAATTATTTTTTGATTATGAAATGAAAGATTCCGAATGGAATAATCTTTACTGGAAGATTACTAACGATCTTATTGAAGAAAAATTATTTTCTTTTGATAAAACACTATATGGAGATGTTGATTTTGAAGGAAACGAAGAAGAAATGGATAAATTAATTGAAGAAGAAGGGGTATATCATTGTATTCATTATATTATGAAGAACAGAGACTATACAGTTGCGGAATTATTATCCTATAATAAGGTGAGAGATCTACGGAAATTTGGAAATTTTTTGTTAGATTCGTGAAATTATATTCGAAAAATATCCAAAATAAGTGATAATGAGTGACAACTAGAGTTGGGAAGGATCGGGATCATTATTCCGAATCCCGATCCCGTTTTTGGCCATTCCCGGTCCCGCAATCGGGATCGGGACCATTATCCAAAATCCCGATTTTATGTCTGTACTTCGATCCCGCCCAACCTTACTCCAGACTAGTTAAATCTATTTAAAAATAAGATTTCAAGCGAAAAAACGAGTTGTGCTTCTCCCACCGTGACTATATCAGGAAGGGAAATATTGTACCCTATAAATCCTGTGTTTAAATATAATCTAAAAAATTTTGAAGGTGTTTAATGAAATGCCTGCTTTAGAAGATTTTCAAGAAACGGATAGTTCTAACCTATCAATGGATGACTGTATGTTAATAACAAAGTTGCATTTAAATGCAATTAAGCAGCTTATAGTAGATGAATTTGTTAATGAATCGGTAAAAAGGATCGTTAATTTACTTTATAGGTATTCTGAATCCATTAGGATCTCTATTTCAAGAGAATTTCAGCATTCAATTAATAAAGATTTAGAAAAACATTAATGATTTAGAAAAACATTGATGATTATTTAGAGTTTGAATATTTTTGTTTATTTTTCTAAATACATATATAAAACTAAAAAACTAAGCCAACCGTAAAAGTTCATAAGTCTAATTTCACGATTATCCACAAAATAAACATTACATATTTTAAGAAAGATAACCAATCTGAAAGTAGCACTTCAACAAATATCCCAACAAAATCTAAATTAACAATTAGCCTTGAAAATATGAATAAAAACAAATTATTCGCTTTAACAAAATCAAGGATGCGTAAAGTACTTGGAGATTTTTTGCTGGAAGAATTGGAAATAAATCATCCTGTTTTGTTGAAGATTGGTTGGTTACCTAAACATTTTATTTATTAAAATGTTGTCCGATAGTTATTTCAGTTCTAGTAATTCGAGTTTTTCAAAACATCCCCACTATACTTGGTAATGGACATCCGGATATTTACGTTGATCAGACGGATATCCGCAGGCAATTTGAACTTATCTGTACCGATATCCGTATCCATTACCAAGAGAGATCCCCACCTACATCCTATTACACTTTCTTCGTCTCAGATGCACTTTCAACAATGGATTATATCAATCTCTACAAAAGTATTTTAACCCATAGTCTAGGCGACTTGAAAAGTCTAAAAAATGAATTACATCTTTATTTTATTTTTATTTATGCGGATATTTGTGAAAATACTAAAAAATTTTATGTAGAAGAGATGGGAGTAAAAAAAGAAAATAAAATTAAAAAGGTTGTAAATAATATAATTAAGAATTCAAATGCTTTTGAAATTGACGAATCTACAGGGAAAAAATTAAATATAAATTCCATTCAAAATTTAATTTTGCGGTGGAAAAAAGTATTAAATATTCAAAATAAAGATAAATTAAAAAAATTATTTACTGATTATTCAGACAATTCTGATATTTATAAAATGAGAATGTTGTTTAGTTTGTATCATGCAAAGTTTGTTTTAATTTTAAACTTTCTAGATTTTTAAGTGATTATTAAGTTAAAATGATTACCGTATTTACTCTAGTAATCCCCCAGTCTTTATTAATTCCCCAGTTTCTATTAATTCCCCACCCTGGGGATGGGTTGAAAAAATAATCCCCCTCTTTCTATCCCACTCTATTAATTCCCCACCCTAGAGATGGGTTGAAACAATAATCCCCCTGGGGAATTACCAGAGTAAATACGGTATTAAGCTTGACTTTCTATATTCACGTTACAATAGTTAAAAAAACCAAACCGATATCTAAGCCGAAAATTATCCGAAAACTTCCGAAAACGGGGATGTTGGTAGGAAGTTGTTCCGTCAACGGGGGAAGTTGTTCCAATGACGGGGGATGTTGGATAACTTCCCCGGCCAAAATAATAAAAATGTTGCGGCGGTATAATGCGCGGCGGTATAATGGGGCGTTTTAGTAAGGCTAATTATAACTATTTTTAAGAGGTAATTATTGTTTCAACCTTTCGCTGGAGGGGGTAACTAATAGAAATTGAGTAATTATTTGAGGGAGTGTAATTAATAGAATATATAGGGTATATTTAAAATAATTATTTAATTTATCAATATAATTTTTTAGCTTGTTAATTAAAATCAAAAATGAGAATAAACAAATCTATGAAGAATTTTTAAAATATTTACAAAAAACTATTGGAGCAAAAACACGTTTACGTCAACTTTTAATTGGAATAGAAGTTGGAGCAAAAGATAAAAAATACCCATTATTGGACTTTCCTAGTTATCCAAATGAATATTCTGAATTAATTCCTTTAGTGAATATTGGTATGTACTTAATTTAGGAAGGCTTGAAAAAATATAGGGTCGAGAAATTTTTGTAATTTTCTCTCAGGTCGAGTTTAAAGTAGGGTGGGACGATATCGATATTTTAAGAAAAATTCGATATCGAGATTGATCGATATTGACATGACCGAGATCGATATCGATATGCAAGATTTGACCCGATATCGAGATCAATATACGATATTTACCGTATTTTTATAAAAATATTTATTATAAAATTTTTACCCTTTACTGCGCCGCAGGCGAAAATTTTGAGAATTTTGGAGGTCCTTGAGTCAGATTTCTTCCATTTTTTTGCGCCGCAAGCGAAAATATTGAAAATTTTGGAGCACCTTGCGTCAGATTTCTTCCATTTTTTGCGCCGCAAATTATTACATATTTTTGAATTTATTTTTCAAAAGAAAAATTTTTTAAGCTTCATTTCCATCTCTGGATCCGAACCCATCCATATGAAATTATACAAGGGAGTGAAGTCAGTCGACTTTACCACTCAACCATCGACCAAAAAAGGAAAATAGGGATAATTTTAGATGCTCAAGTAGCCATATTTCTTCTTTTTCAGCGCCGCAGGCGAAAATTTTTAGAATTTTGGAAGGGCAAGTGGCCAGATTTCTTCAATTTCTTAGAAAAAAAAAGAAATCTTTAGGGGTGTATATTTAATATCGATATCGATCGATATTTGGGGCGATATATCTGTATCGGTTTCAAGATCGATATAGGATGAAACCGATATCGATATTGGAAAAAGACCGATATTCGAGACCGATATATCAATATCGATCTCGACTTGTCCTACCCTAGTTTAAAGTCAAAAGCTCATATCTCAGGAAGGAGGGTGGTGTTAAGGCCGAAAAAAGCCGGGGTTTTCCAACAATTAACTTATGCGCCGGGTGACTTTTGCGCCGCGACTTTTGCACAGTGACTACATATCATTAGAAATATATCAATAACTACAGCCAGACCTCACTATAGTAGGGTTGTTGGAAATCTTTGGATATCTGGTCCAACAACCCTACACTATAGTGGGGTTGTCGTATCTTTTTTCTGCACTACTTGGGCAGAAAATCATGCCGGAATACGGTTACAGATCCAACTAGCAAATTACGATCCCCTAGCAAAATTATGGATTTATCAAAGTGGAATATATTTATTTTTAGTTTTTTTAATTTGTTTAAAGTAGGTTAAATAATTATTAACATTTTTAAGATTTAAATCAAACAGAAATATTGGACAGATTAGCTGACTATTATATAGAAGGGCTAACAAATTTAGACGAAGATGCTAATTTAAAAATATTTTATAGTGCTTCTATACTTGCACAAACATATTTTATAGATGAACCAAAAGAAAAATTAAATAAAACAAAAAAGAATAAAAAAAATAAGAAAAAGGCTTTAAAAAATCAAAAGTTTGACGAAGATAGTTGGATTAGTTATAAAAAAGAGATGTTTTTAAGAGTAGATTCCTTAATTGATAAGGATTTGGGATATTGTACTTCTGTAGGGATTGGAGAATTAAATTTTCTATATTATCAAAGAAATTTTAGCACAATGATGGACACAGAATTTAATTTGGTTATTTTTTCATTAATTTATTCTTTAAATTATAAAAAAATAAATTACTTCAAATGCTCTAATTCTGTGTTGAGCTTATTTGTGTCGTGATCAGATATTATTTTTCTATATACGATTTTCAAATTTTTATAAATTTGGACGATTTTTTATTTAACCCTGCTAGGAATGATTGGAAAAATAATGGGTAATTGAATAAAGTAGAGATTAGATTAGGAATATACGGAGATTGCCGGACACAGATTCGACCATAATTAGCACGACCTTAGAGTAGCGAAAAGATTTTTAAAGAATAATAAATTCTAGAATAATATTTGACCAATTTAGACTGATAAATTAACAAATATAAACGAACAACTAGATCTTATCCGAACAACTCATCAAGACATATTCTCTACACTTATTGCTAAAAATTTAGAATTTTCGAAAAAATATGAAAGTAAGTTATAAAATTATCTTTTGAAACAGTAACATTCTAAAGTTCTTAAGGAATAAACGCGGCTAATTATTGCGCGAACTAATCAGGATATCTAAAATTTTTGGCTCGTAGATAGGGATCCGAGAAACCGTAAAACATAGGATCCTTGTAGATAGTAAATAATATCAGTCTATTTAAGTCCTGTTTAGAATCGGTTTATCGAGGAAGATGAAAAGTTTGTCTATTCTTCCGAAGCATGTTTTCGCATTTTCACTACTAAAAAATATACAGTTCAAGGCCTAGTGTTTCTAATTTTCGAGGTCTGCATTTCCAGTCATATTTTTTATCAATTCTCTTACGACATATGTCAAAATCGCCTCTGTTAATAAAATATTATGTTATCTAAAATATAATTTAAGAAATTGAAGAAAAACAAGAAATTGGCAAATTAATGTATGATATTCTCATTCAAGTATCTGATGAGAATTCGGTATAAATTATATAATTAAGTAGTTAACTTTAATATTTAAGGAAAATGAATATGTTCGTTGTCCAGAAGATGACAAGGATATTACTTGTAATTAATTAGTACATATACAGTCGGGGCTCAGTTGTACAAATTAAGTACCGACGGTATTTTATAAGTTACGGTACGAAATTCCAATCACTAATGGATTTTGTACTTATCTCAATTGCACCAGTTGTTTTTGCCTCTCTCGCTAAGCTTAGGATTATCTCTACATGGGGGTTGTCGAAAAACTGAGCTTCAACAATAAATTTTCCAAAAATTCATAAATATTATTAAATACTAGATAAAGAAGAAACTCAATTAATTAGAGAATATTTAACTGAACCAAAAGATGTTCATATCAAATTAATTAATGCAAGCTCGCTCGCTTTGCATTATGAAATTAAAATAAAAGAAATTATTAAACCATTTAAAGATTCAAAATTGAGAACAAAAATTATAGCAGATTTACTCAGAATATTAAAAATAAAGGATCCAAAAGAAAAACTTTGCCGTCTTTATTTTATTTTAGATGGTGATATAAAAAAGTTATTAAACTATGAAGATTATCATGAATGGTCAGATTATCTGAAGGAATTTGAACTTAAGGTTAAATTTAAATTCAGTGTTTCTTGCTAATTTCATTTCCCCATCAGAATATATTATCTTCATCCCAGCCAGGGATGAGCGCAAGAGACAATCTCAAAAGAAGCAATGCGCTCACCCATGATCTCAGTCAAAATAGGCCAAAATTATACGCAAATAACGCAATGCCCTCACTCCTGATCCCAGTCAAACCCTCTGCACTATGACTAATCCGCTAATAATTCTCAAAACTGACATTGATAGTGTAACTATATCAAAAATTCCCCGAGTCCCCAATCACAAACAACGATACTTTTTAACTGTCTCTTGCCCTGTCCACAAAAATTGAATTTAACAATTTTTAAATCACAAAATGTGATACGCTCCGATATTCTCAAATTTTTCAATTTTTAATAATATCAACAGATTTACGTCGTTGGTCCAACATTAGAAAGCACTATGTATAGCAAAGAAAATATTGATGTGACGACATCAAATATAATTTTTTTGTATGATCTGAACAAAAATGGACTTGAAAAAATTATTTTTAATTATCTCGAATTTCTGATTTCTAAATATCCTGATATGCAAATTTTCTTTTGCAATAATGGAAGGACTATAGAAGAACGCTATGAGTATTTAACGTTATTTAAGGAACGCCTTATTAATTTAATTGGTATTGAACAGTTGAAGAAATTGGAGATTAAATACCCTGAAATTTTGAGAATAGGTTGGTTGTAGAGATGTCCTAAACATAGAATTTTTAAACTAAAATTTGGCTAGGGGTCCTTGGCGTTTATCTTGGTATCTTAAAAAATTGAAAAATGCACTAAAATAGGGCAAAAGATTAGAACAACATCTTTAAATAAATAAGCGAACACATCAAAATTATCTAACCTTAGAAACCAAATTATGGTATTGGGGAATAACACAATAACGATAAAAACATAATATGAACCTATTTCACAATTTTTCGGACCTCCATTAATTAGACAATAAGGTTTGGAAATTTTTTTGGAAATTTTCGGGTATCCGAATCCGCAAACCTTATTAGACATACACAATTTATTTAGTTAATACCTAATATATTTTTTATTAGATTTTTTGAAAAAGAATGTTGTTATGTCGTATTATGAACAATATGTCCAATATCCGATAAACTCTTCCATCTCTATCGAAGCTATTAAAGCGTTAAATACAAGATTTTTATTAGGCAAAATAACATATCAATATTCAGTAATTGACAGAATCTTTGAGGAAAATAATTATTTACACAATATTTTCAAAGAACGTTTGGATTGGGCGATAAATAAAGCATATCACAAATTTAAAGGGGGTTTTTATTCGGATGAGAAATTGTGTTTTATGATTGAATTTATTAAATTACTAGAAAAATGTATGGAAGTGGGTATTTATTTTTAAATAAAACTAAATTTGTCAAAAAAGTTTAATATACTGCTTTTTGAAAAAGTTTAATATACTGTTTTTAAACTATTTAGTAAAACATGTCTGTCAGACCGGGACAATTTTTGTTATGTGTCTATCAGGATGGTCGGTTATCCGAACCCCAACATTTTCGACCCGAAGTCCAATCGAGAAAAACTTACCCTACCAAAACCTGGCCAGACCTATTCCTAACCCGAACTATACCTTGGTTCAAATTGTTTGTTAGACTGGCTTGTTTTAGACTGACTTGCTACTCGAAAGTCGTATACTTCTAGGACAAGTATGGGTTCAGGAGAGCTTGAAAAATCAAGAATTTCGTCTCGGAAGAGACTGTTAAACGAAATGATATAAATAGTGAAATATAACAAACAATTTATAGATAGCCGTTAACAATCCAAACCAAGCAGCTTTACTAATTATTATCTGGAATGGTACATTTTGTAGAAGAAAAATTATTCATAAAAAAGCATTAATGGAAGTACAAGAATTGGTGTCAAGTCCACATTTTAATTTTTTAAAAGACCTTTCGTCCCAAATATTGCAAAAATGCACCCAACCTGGAATGCTTTCTAAACTTGATTTAGTCAGTCCTAATGTGACAGTTCAAGAATTTTATGAAGTTGATAGTTAGTAGTTGATTTATATTTTAATATTTTCCATTAAATGAGTATAAGCTTAAAATTAAGCTTATAAAGGATATGTCTTATATTTGAGATCAGTGGGGAATTGTAGGGTATTTAGAAGGAGCAAAAAACTAGCAGCCTATTATTCGACTTGGATCATATCTCCAAGCTGACAATATTAAGCTAATCTGTTTAGGTACACACTAAAGTATAGTTTTTATATTGTTTCTCAAAGTTAATTTTAAAATAATTAAATTATAAAGTATCTTCCACTGAACAACGAGAACGTTTACGCAGGCATATCATTAGAGCGGTAATTAAAGTGGATAAGCTAGAAACAATTTTAAACAAAATAGCAATTCAAATAATATCTTTTATTCGATGGATTGATATTGAGGTTAGAACCTAATAATTATTAGAAGCTTAACTCGCCCCCACAAATCTCAGACTGAAAACAGATTTTAATAAATAAATTATAAGTGATTTTATGAATATGTACATTGGGTCACATATTTTTCGAATGTAAAATTTACGATTTACGCGCGTATTTAATATTATTTTGGCGATTCTGCATAATCTTTCGGATCGGCGGAACCTATCCAACTACCATAAAATTTCTCTGCTCATCAAGACAAACAAGATCAAAACAGCGAAACTTTTTTCTGCCGGACGAAAAATTTTCGTAATTCTCAGACCAAAATAATGAATGACAAAATTCCTCTCTAAATCATTGATATAAGTAAAAGTATTATATGGATTTCAAAATAATTTTATTAATCAGGTAATTAGCCAATTGAAAGATGTGTTGAATGATGAATTGCTTAAAGAATTTCGTACTGAAGTCCTCAAATACAAATCTGATTATGATAAAATTTTCAATATGAACATTGAGGAATTAATAAAAGAACAAACAAAATTAAATATTCAACAATTTAAATTTTATAAAATATTAATTAAAAACAAAAATATCAAAGATTTAACAATTAATACAATTTCTGATTATGTGCAGGAAAAATACGACAAAATTTTCATCTCTGTTAGTGAACGAAAAGAATTTTTAAAATGGCGTGAATTAATTGTTGCAAATGAATTTTATGAGGAACTTGGTATAAATAATGAAATCAAGCTGCAAAATGAAAATGATCGTGAAAATAGAGAGATTTTTAAGGAGGAAGTGAGTAAAGGTGAGAAATATTCCCAATAAGATCCAAAATCAAAAACAGAACCTTCCCCTTGATAGTCCTACTAGGCATCTTCAGATAGGTCACACCGACTGAGATACCGGGCGACGAAGTTTAATTTTTTTGAAGTCGGCCTAAGCCTCCTAAACGTAACTAGATTAATCTATCAGTATATATGTAAATGAAGTCGTAGTACGTAAAGCTCAGAAACCCCTAGTTTCTGAGCCCAAGTCAGCTGCCCAGAAAGCATACTGAAGATAATACATAGTACATACCTAATTTAGATTATTCGATAAACCACCCCATCATTCCAAAACTGAATTTAAAATTTTAGTTTTTAACCAAGGTCTCACATCATCTCTTTCTTTCCGACAAAATCTTTATAATTTGATCGGTCACGAGAATACCCGTAAATGTCTTGAGTTCCTCAATATAAAATTTGATGAATCAGAATTTAAAAATGTGGAAGAAATAGAAAATGAATATTTTGAAGAAAAAGATGAAGATGATGAAGAAAATGGCACAGATTTAATTATAAATAATGATAAGATGGAAGTAATTAATGTAGAAGGTTGTTAAAAATATTAATTAAGAGAGAGTTTAGCAAAAGTTTAGCCACCGGGCAGGATTGAACCTCAGACCTCCTGATAGTTATTTTTAGGCGATTTCGTTCACCATATACAGGAGCTCCACCACTGAGCTACCGGGGCCTCGACTAATGCTCCTTTTTTTATCCTTTTAGATCGTTTAACCCCCGCCTCTAGGTGAATCATCCTTACAATTAAAAACTTTTTTATAATTAACATTTTATAGACCCTCAGGTAACAGACAAAAATGATATAATAAACAATTTAGTTGATAGTTTCAAAAAATTAAATTTGGAGATAGGTTTATTATCGGAAAATAACGATAATAAATTTGAAAATTCGAAATCTCCTTTCAAAATAAAAGATGACAAAAATGCAGAAATTCTGGATATTAATAAATCGCTTCCTGAAAAACCAAAAATTATTGAACAAAAGATAAATACAGGTTAAAGAATTTTGCAAAATAAAAATTTTTTATAATTCATTTTTTGTAATTTTGTTTTGTTGTAATATGGCCATGAGATTGAATTTTAGATTTTTCATTGAAATTTATTTTAAAAATTAATTTAAAGGAGCTAAAATTGCCAGGAATGCTTTTTCATACTCTGATAATTCTGAAAATATGCTAGTGTGCCATCAGTATGATCACTGATATTTAAATAAATTACGTATCTGAACATAGGCTCCACTAACAAAGAACTTAATCGCTAGCCTAATAATTTCTAAAATTCAGTCCTATATTTTTATTTGAATATTTTTTATTCGAAATTAAAATTACTAATTCAGAATCTAAATTAATAGAAAAACCTTCAACTACAACTAAGGCCAAATTGTCAAAGAAAAAACGAAATCAAGAGAAAAAGAAAAATTTAGAATTGAAAAATTTAGAGAAAAAATCTGTGGAAGAAATTTCAGATAATAAAATGGAAGAGATTGAAGGGGAGGAATTGACATCAAGTCAACCAAAAATAATTAATGAAAATACTATAAGCGAGTCTTTAGATGAAGATACAATAAGCGAAGATGTAGAAGAAGAACCTCAGGGGGTTAAAATAGAAGAGCAGAAACCAGCTGAAAAGTTTGTTTGAAATAAATAATAATTTAAAAATAAATACACATTTATTTAGGCCTATAATGAAGAATTTGGAAGATAAAATTATTAAGTCTTCTAAAGGAAAAGGTAAAGCAAATGCTAATAAAAACATTAAGGCAAAACATGGAAAAAAGGTTAAAAATGAAGTGATTAATAAAATAATTAAGAAAGAAGATGAATTAAAGACAAATAATGAGTTGACAGTGTTTGAGGAAAATAATGAGGTATGTAATCCTATGTGAGATTATGTCTTCCGTTTCTGAATATCCAGAACTGAAAAAATGCCTGAGAGTACTGGGTTTGGGTTCGGTTGATTAATATTTTCCATTTTATAAGTCAACTATTAGTGGCTTTCGACATCAAGGATTTAATTGGCTTAGTGGCTTTCGACATCAAGGATTTAACAAAAAAGCCTATTGCTAACAAAAAAAGCCTAAAAGACGCCAAAAAACATAATAGTTAAATTATAAATCATTTATTTTTATAGCTCATTGATGTATTGAAAGAAAAAAAGCATTGGAATGATTTGAAAAATTCAAATTTTATTATTGATAGAACTGTCACTTTAGAGGAAGCAATTGCTGACATAAAGAAAATTGTTGAACATTGGGTAAACGATAACATAGAAAAGTTAACAAATTTTTGAATTTTCAGAATAAAAATGCTTTTACATTAATTTCTGGTTCTTATCTTTTAAATATTAATTCTGTAGAATCTGATGTTGATTTTATTGTTGTATTACCATTTAATTACAATAATAATAATGACAAATTTGTAACAAAAAGAATGTTGGATGATGAATTTATGGGTATTAGATCTGAGTGTAATTTTGAAAAAAGGGAGGAATGTAGTGAGAAAGGATCGCTTTACTGCGTTTTATGCGAGGTAATTAATAACTAACGCAATGATGTCTTTATTGTTCTAATCGGACCATTCCAAAAAATTCGTTTTCTATACGATGCTGTTGTGTCCGCAGCACTTGCCGGAACAAAATAATAATGTGTCGCGGTCTGGGCTCATTCCATGATGATTCAATTCCATCCCCCATCCAATGAATTTTACCAGAGCACGTATACAACAAATGCGAGCATATTGAGCTCGGACTTTGGTTTCATAGCGGAATCTGAGATGGGAGAAATTATGTTAGATTAAGATTTAACTCCTTGAAAATTTAAATTATTTCCCCAAACAATAAAAATAATTAATTTAACTAGTATTTTCTTATTTTAATAGAACAAAGCAACATCATGGCTTAGAAAAATTACAGCGGGTGTTAGTGAAATAAATGCCAAAATTCATGACTATTCTTTCGATTTAGCCTTTGTTGCTTATCCTTGGGAAAGAAATTCTGAACAAGTTTTGAATTTTATAAAAAGTGAAGAAAGTTTGAAAAATCTAAATGAAATAGATAATTTTATTTTAAATTTTACTGAACAATTTGGGACGAATCTGCAATTTGACCGTTTTGGAATGATTAATTCATTATCCGGTTCATAATTTTATAAATTTGTTTAAAATTTTTTTATTTAATTTAAACAAATATTAATGACATTTTATCTAATAGATAAAAGCCATGTCTTTAATTCAAGCTCATAATCATCGTGGCTCCGTTGATCGGGCGGACCCACCCATGGGACGTAACCTGGTAAAAAGTTTAATGCCATTTTTAAAACTCATTACTAGATGTTTACCAAAAGTTCCGGTTCCGAAAAGTTCCGGCGTTTTTTGGTTTCGGTTCCGATTCTGGGATCCGGAACTCAAAATGGATCCGGTTCCGGTCAAAATTTCGGTTCAGATGAAAACACTAATCATTATCTATGCTAAAATATTTAATTTCATAAGATTTAAAGAGTAACTGAAAATTAATAATAAAATATATAAATTTGAGTTTTAATTTAGGTTATCGTGCTAATATTCGAATTAATGAACTTATCGCAGAGAATAAAGATAAATTTCGACTAGTATTATTAACATTAAAACTATGGGCAAGAAGTAAGTTTAATAATAGTTAATAACAGATTAATAACAGATCAAATTTATCTTAGTAAAATTCTATTTATTTTTAAGAATATTTTACCAATTTTTTTGGGTTGGGATTGATTTACCATGTTTTACAAAATTTAAATTTCCACCTAATCTTTTCCTAAGTATAAATTATAATTTCAGATCATTTCATTTATAATGGTAAACTCGGCTTCTTTAGTGGCACTTCATTAGTTATTCTAATTACAAAAATACTTGTTGATTTTAATTCAACAAAAATAACAATTTATCAAATATTAGCAAAGTTTTTTGATGTTTACACATATAAAAAGATAAATAAATTGTTTGTTTATATAATTAATCTTGTCAATATAAAGCATAGAATCTCATCAGAATTTAACAAATACTATTGGGGCTTATAATAATTGGAAAGATTCTGATACCATAATGGATCTGTGATGAATACAGATTTCTCCCTTTCCGTCAATTTCTTAAACCTCCGGGTTTGGATCCTCCTCCTGTTGTATCATGTACAACAATAAAGAAGCAATACAATAATGTGTTTATTACACAATAGAAATACATAAGGATGAAGAAATAGAATAAGGTTGGAGTATTTAGAATAAGTATTTAGCAGACTCGGAATTATGTATGGCTTTTATAGATACTGGCCACACTGTGATATATACTGGCCACACTATAATACTAGCCACACTGCCATAACACCTCTGATAGAATAAATTTATCAATTCAAAACAATGAATTTTTTTATTATTTTTTTTTTTGTTAAGAAATGACGGTAGCAATAATAAGCAAAAAATAGGGGAACATTTAGAAAACGAATTGGAACCAATTATTATTATTGAAGAAACTAACAAAAACATTGAAAAATTACGTGAAGCAATAGACTGGAATGAAGCAAAGGAGAGAGAATCTCGAAATAATCTTTACATAAATAATACAGAAAAAGTGTTAAGAGATCAAATAATTGAAAAACAAAAAAATTTAGAAAAAGCAATTTCCCCCTTTCAAAAACACATTTTACTAAGAGAAATAAAAGAAAAACAGTCATTATTGGAAAAAGTAATTTTGAATAGAAAGTCAATTTTGGAAAAGAATTCAAAAATGGAAAAACATACAAAATTAGTTTGGCCAATAATAACACCTGGATTGCCTAAACAAAATGCTGGATTTAATATTAATATGTCCACAAGGAAAATAATTTGGAGAGAAATGATACAAGGTTTAAATATAATTATGAGCTCATCCTCTTAATCCCTATAAATCCACCGATATCTACTCCACTCAAATCTGTCGAAACTTTCAATTTTTCGGTATTCGAACATATGTAGTAACTATTTCTGGCGGATTATTCCAAATGAATAATTTTCGAGTCTGCCTTTGTGGGTATTTTTTCTTCTATTACTTGTCTATATACCTTATATCCCAAAATAGGGCTCATCCTCTCTTTATCTATACTTTGCCACAATACATAGTATAAGATGGGGAGAAGATATTTGCGAACAAAGACAGCGAGCTGTAGATTTATCGGAAATGCTGAATAAAAGTTGATGCTTGGAATATTGGGGAACATTCCAAGCATGTAAAATATTACCTTAAGTTTGAGTAAAATTATTATAAAAATTATTATTGAAACCAAGTGATAATTTTTATAAAATTAATTAAAAGACTGAATATTATTTTTCAATTCTCATCCATTTAATTAATTTCTTTACACTGCCTCTTATTTAAATTTAGCGCACGATCTCATAAAAACAAATGTAAAAAATGCTTTGAAGGCAAAATCAAAAATTTCTAAAAAGCTGGATGGGAACCATGAAAATTTAAAAAATCAGTGGGGAACTTTGCTAAATTGTGGTGGTGAATTTAAGGACAAAGTTAGTTTAACAATTAGCTAACAAAATCGCCAATAACCCCTATAATCTTTTAAGTATGATCAATTTCTCGCTATTGTCTGCACTTATTCCTCCACAAGTGAATATGGAGATGAATTTTGTGATTTTTCTACTACACGTATCCGTCTTCAATTATTATTTTCAATTGAGACAGAAATTGATGCTATTTGTCATGCAAATTTACAAAAACCTATTCGAGATAAGAAACAATGCCCAAAAGAATTTAGAAAAAAAGGATGGGTATGCATAATTTGGCTAGTTGGAATTGATTTTGAAATTAATGGGAATAATGGGAATATATCTAGGCAAAATTTGGTAACTAATAATTACATCTTATTAGATTTTATTAGATAATACTTTTTTAAATAATACATACATTAAAAAAAGAATAAGAGTATGTTGCTAGACCTATGAAGCATATGAAAGGCGCTTTTGCAAAACCCCGCGCGAAGCCTATCCCGTTTTACATTTGCAGCCTTTATCTGCCCTACCCCCGTAGTTCAAAAAATATGATTGGACCTGTAAACTGTATTGGAATCATAAACTGCAGTAGAGCCAAAATTTTTACTTACAATTAGAATAATAAAACACTTTCGGATTTATAGAATTTGTTTTTATTCCATAATCTTATACAACTTTTACTCCTGAATATTATCATAAAAGAAATTTTAAGAAGTGATGAATTTAACGAGTTTTTTCTATTTAAATACCTAATTGAAATTAATTATAGGTCCTCCAAGATAAAGAAAATATATTCGGTAAGGATAAAGGAAAACAAATTTTGGCGGAATTTAAAGAAAAGATTATTTCCTCATATTTACCCCGTAAAAAGGGAGTTTATTCCTATCTCTCAAAAATGTCAAAAGAAGAAAGGGATATAATTATGTCCCAACTTGGAATTGAAGTTAAATATTTGAAGAAGGATGAAGTAATTGAATGGATGTTGAATTAATCATGAATTTTAATGTATATCTCATTGTAAAATTTATTTTGTAGCATCTAGAATTTTGTGTTTTTTCATATTTTTTTATATTTTTACAAGTGATAAAGCTGTTCTATTTTTAAAGAATACTGTTGTGTAGTGGTGACACTACTATAAAAGCCACTATAAGCGTCAGTCTACTTGGATCATACTAGCCCGGCTAGTCCCTAATCTCCTTCGTCTGTTCCAGCTCAATCCCTTCGCCTACACATTGGTTATTTATACATTAGATAAACTGTTATTATTGTGCACGTCGACATTAGTTAACCCTCGGACCCTCAGACATAACCCTCGGATAACCCTCGGACATAACAAATATCCATACACAGAAATAATTTATGCTTTTTTGTGTCTCAATTTTAATTAAATTTTGCATTTTCAAAGATCAATACCAATAAAATTGCTAATTTAACATAAATTAAGAATATATTTTTTACATTCAAAGTAAATAAAATTATTAGAAAACACTTTTAAATTAAATTATAGACATTGCAGAATAATTGATATTTAGTCACCTTTGTGTATAATTTAATTTATTTCAAAGTTTATAGCTTAAAAGATTACGTATTATTTCAAAATTTTATTCCCTTTTCAAATAAAACTTGCAACCGGCAATATATTCAAGACATTAAGGAGTGTCTGTCTTAAGAATTTTTTAAATTCTTAAAACAATATAAATAAGGAACTAGTATTTTATTAAATAAAATAATTAAATGTCCATATAAAATCTTCAGAAATTACATTGATACTATTTATTATTCCCATTTTTATTAATTTATCTTTAACCATCGTTAAATAACAACGAGATCCTTGTAAATCAACCAGGGTGGCCCTTTTACCCTATTTATTGAGGATTTTCCCTATTTTTGACCTTTTCGCCCTATTTTTTCCCTATTTTCTCATTTGCCATATTTTTGCCCTATTTTTACTATTTTGTAAAATTTTAAAAATTATCTGGATTTTGTAAAAAATGGTAAAAATGAAGGATTTCTGACTTCCGGTCTTTCCAAAATCATCAAAATTTTTGCTTGCAGCGCATAAAATAGAAGAAATCTGGCTGCTTGAGATCCAAAATCCTCAGAATTTCCGTCTGCGGCGCCAAAATGGAAGAAATTTAGCTTCTTGGCTTCCAAAATTTTAAAAATTTTCGCCTTATTTTAAATTTGTTTATGCTTTTAAAGCTATGCCTCAAATTTTGCCATATTTTTAACCAATTTCGCCCTTTTAGTGCTTTGGAAGGGGCCACCCTGAAATCAACATTACAATAAAATAAAAAATTTTAGATTTAAATTAGAAAATAATGGTAAAATTGTAAAATAAAATTTAGAAAAATTAAATTTTATTTTTGATTATACATACATATTTAAATTTTTACATTAACAAAATTTTTATAAATTAAAAAAGCCTTTCCATAAATAAGCTAAATATTTTCCAAGTTCAAAAGTAGCAGGATGACTAACACTTTGAGAAATTCTAAAATTAAGATACAAATAAAAAATAAAATTTTTTCGATAGTTAAATAAGTCATAAGAATTTTGTATCATTTACCGTAAAAAATTTTTAAGTATAAAATTTTATGTTAATTAAAAAATTATAATTGGCATTTTTAGATAGAATAGAATGTGTGTGCTTTATTGTAAGGTAGAACCTGGTATTGCGCATATTCGGAGTTTTTACCTTTTGACTTTATATCCATATCCCATTTATTACTATTGCTTGTTATATTAATCTTCCTTGGAAGTCCAAATATACTCCCCCCCCTCTCATTATTCCTCCTTATTCTGAGAATAAAGCAGCTGGGCTATAGCTATTTTTCTCCATTAGCAAGTGCAAAAGGTTAATCGGCGGCTGGGAGCGAACCTGCATCTTCAGTAGATCGGACATATGTGTTAGCCATTAAACCTACTGCACAGCCTTAGTAATTAAATAGCTACATATATGCTTTACATGATTATGAATTCAGCATGGCTTCGGCACTATGGATTGGAGAGATTGCCGAACACCTTTTTTTAATTTTTTGTTTTTTTCAAAAAGTGTCCCAAAATTTAATATATTTTTAAATTTTTTTGTAAAAAATAAATTCTCAAATGGTTCAGAAATTTATATTTTTAATTTAAAATTTAAATTTAATTTCAAACTCAAAGTATGCAATTTTAATAACTTTTTTTTTATTTTTTCTTTGTCTCAAAATTTTAAAATTTTATTTTGTTAATGAGATTTTTATTTTTGTTTTTTATTGTTAATATTTGTATTTTAGTCATGAAATTTATAGTTTCATTTATAAAATAAAGTTATTTTTGGTTTTAAAAAAGAATTTATATTTTCTATTTTCTAATTAAAATAAATTGTACAAAAAATTTTTTGAATCTCGTGTTTTTTCATTGTCTCAAAACATTCCTTTTTTCCAAAATTTATCATTTCTTTAAATTTTAAAAATTATTTTAAGAAATTTATATCCACCGTTTAATCACGCAATATTTTTTATTTTATTTTTGAAATTTTTTTTGTGTTTAATTTTAGTTCCTTTGTTTAAAATTTTTTTATAAATTGAGAATTTCAAATAAAATTAATTATTCTTCAATTAAAATATTTTTTTCTAACATTCAAGAAACTAAAAAAATTAAAAAAATGATTCGAGAGGTAAACGAAGCTAGTGCACTCTCTGCTTTCTGTATAGGCTTAACTCTCAATTGTATATTAATTTGGTTGATTATTCGAAAAAGTCCAAAAGAGATGCGTGTTTTTAGTCATATTTTGATGCAGACATGCTGTGCCGATTTAATTATGTTAACAATTAATTTGTTGGCACAACCGGTAATTGTTTATTTATGAACTTTAAAGATTGTACCGTATTATCTCTAATAGAATGCCCGGGCATTCTATTTTTCAATCACCTTCCAAAGGGGCATTCTATTAGAGGGGGGCATTCAAATGGAGGGGGGCATTGTATTTTTCGATGACTAAATTTTAAAGTTTGAAAAAATTTTTATCAAAAATTTTTATTTATAATATTAAATAGAGTAAGTCGAGTTCGAGCGAGTTCGAGTTACTCGACTCGACCGCTCGGTTTTTTTGCGTAATTACTCGACTCGGGGTAATCATGAAGAATCTGGGATCCACTTTTAAAAACCTTAAACATCATTATTTTTTCATGAAAATCATTTTATATAGGTAATCGACTATGCTGATCTCGTATCCGATAACAGATTTTGTCAAATATGACATTTTATCTATAATTTTTTATCATGACTTGATTTTCAGCAAGATTCTGTTGTTTATAACTTTGTTCAAAGTTTTTTTTTGACCCTAGCTAGACGAGCTCTTTCGAATGAGTCATTTGTATAATCGAATTTTTTGACCCCAAAAATTTTCAAATTTCGGGGTCTGTAACTCGACCAAATGAAGTCGAATTTCGTAATTTTGGCGTCGTTCGACTCATCTCGAGGAGCTCTTTCGAATGAGCTATAATTTGTGTAATCGGATTATTTACACCAAAATCGACCTTAATTCACCCTATGGTTTTTCGATTTTCGGGGGCCTATATCTCTGCGAGTTTTCGTCCCCGGCAAAAAATTCTTGCATATTTGAACTCAGCATAGTCGATTACCTATATAAAACGATTTTCAGACAAAAATAATGATTTTTAAGGTTTCTAAAAGTGGATCCCAGATTCTTCATGATTACCCGACTCGGAACTCGGGATAATAATACTCGGATTACTCGAACTCGGAAAATTCCTACTACGATTAAAAGTGAATATGTAGTAAACTTTTTAAATATAAATTGTAATATCTTTTTTATTTAGAAAAATTTCAGCAAAAAAAAGGGGGGGGGCATTTTATTAGAGGGGGGCATTCAAATGGAGGGGGCATTGTATTTTTCGATCTTCCGCTAGAGGGGCATTCTATTAGAGGGGGGCATTCAAATGGAGAGGGGCATTCTAATAGAGATAATACGGTATATTATTTTAAATAAATAAGGAGATATCTTAGTAAATTGTTTTCCTCATTAAGTTCCTTGGAGATGTCATGATCTGAGGAAAAAGTTAGGGCAGGTTTATGATCGGATTTTCAGACTATTCTTTGAGCGGTTTTCCGCTCATAACTCATAACCGCTCATAACTCATCAATTTGCGTATCGGTCTTCGAATAAGCTCGGCATCCCTGTCTTTGATTTGGGATTCTATTAAACTACCTAACTGTATTATCATTTTCGACTTGCATGTCTACAAGTCCATATTGTTCATAACTTTATAACAAAGTATCTACACTTATCTTTTATTAAGTTGGGGATTTTAAATTTTTAAATAATTATTCAAAATGTTTTATAAATATACAAATTTTCTTAGATTTATGCTTCTGATGAGGGTGTTGGAATTGTTGTTTTGAATGGTCCAATGCGCCACTTAGGCACTCTTCCCCAAAACTTGATTTTGTTCATTTGGGATAATTGCTTTTTCTTCTCGTTTTTTGGATTTGCGGCACAATTTATTTATCGTTATTTAATTTTAAATAGGTACTAAATATTATTTATTTTTAAAATACCTAAAATAATCGGATAAATAAATTAAAATAATAAGAAAAACTTTTATTGTCTAAATTCAGATTAGTAATGTCTAAATTCATAATGACAGGGGTCTAAGATCTTTTTGATTAAATGCCTTGATTGCTCATTTTGTAGACCACCTTTTTGCGTTGATCTAATAACTGCTATAGCTTCCATAAGGTTTCAGGATCATTCATAGAGCCCAAGAGTAGGACTAAACTTTAGCTAAGGACTAAACTTAACCACTCACATACAATATGATTAATTAACTTTAATTATTTTAGAAATATAAACATATCATCAACACAATATTTTATTGCATTAATTTGTATCTTATTTCCAACCGATTTCGTCCTAGCATCAATACTTTATGTAGCTGGGTTGCCACAAGTTGGGAAAGATAAGTGTTGCTCTAATCCAATGATATTACAACTATTGGAATGGGATAATGGAGATAAAATTCAATTGGCACAGAGCGCTGTAATTAAATTTTTATTTACTCAGAAGATTAATCTTAATCGTTCTCTGTCTTATATTACGTTAATTGTTTTCCCCTCAGTCATAATATCTTCTCAAAAAATACCAAAATTTAAATAAATCTTTAGGGAGGATTTTATTCAATTGCTTGGATTGTTGTCTCGATTTTTATTACCACAGCTTATTCAACTATTTTCTGCTGTGCTTATGCTATTCGCCGATTCGTGAAAGAACATATAAAAAATACAAAAACTAAAGTTAGCGAAATTAATGATCAGTTAACTTTAAATATGATAATTCAGGTGAATAAATAAATAAAATATTTAAATTTATTTTTTAGTCTCTTTTACCACTCCTTGCAATTGTACCTGTATGGACAACATTAATTTCTTCATTATTTAACGTCAATTTTTCTAATGTAGATTCTGTGCCTTTACAAGTTGTAAGTCTAACTTTAAATGTTCTAAAATATTCCCCTTATCTAAAATAGTTGAGCGGTCGAATTTGACCGGTCGAATTTGATCGCAGTATCCTTCAGATCCTTAATCAATTGGGAATTTTATATCATTTGAAAGCTTCGATAAGCGGTATCTGCTTTCCAGCTGGAAGGAACAAGTCTGATCATCCAAAAAGAATCATACAAACATTTTACTGAATGATCAGACTTGATCCATCTTGTCGGAAGAAAAATACCGCTCATCGAGGATTTCTAAAAATCTATTTAGTCTTAATCTGTTTAGTCATCTATTAGTCAGATTTAATCTAGGCCAGAAAAATCTATATTCTTATCATGCTTTGCTTGCGCTAAGCTAACCACAAACACAAATTCCCCTCCTTTATCTTAAATATTATCTATATATAACAGTAAAAGGGCACTCAGCTAAAAAAAAGTCCTCCGGAAGTTTGAGAAAACGTAGAGGGGTGGGGTTTTTTGCTATAGATGGGAAATTTAATGTAGTTTTCAGGAAAAATCCGAAAATTGTGGGTCAAGAAGCGAAAAAATTAGATATTGTGAAAAAACGTGTTTTTTCAAAACTTTGAAGTGAAATTTGAATATAAAGATGAAGTCGGGGGAAGTTGGGTCAGTTACAAGGTTGAAGCACCACAACATGGAGAATATGATAGAAAAAGAGTTGAAGTCGTTCTGACATCGGGGAGGGTAGATGTGCCTGTTGACAACTTTTTTGTCAAAGTGGTAACTTTGAATTTAGGGTATTTAGAGGGGTCTGAGCAAAAAGTAGTTGGGAGAAAAGTTGTAGAGTGTGGTGGATTTCTTAAGAAAAAAGTTTGTTTCAAGTTGATTGGATTAACAGAAAAAAAGATATGGAGTAAAAATTAAAATTTTTAGGAGGTTGCATAAAAGTGACATTAACTATATTTTGTTTTGGAGTTAGAAGAAAAGTGATGGGAGATGAAAGATAGAGAATTAAATTCTGCATCGAATAAGCTTTGTTTTATGTTAATTAATCTTTTTTGCACCGAGTTATGAATTTTTTTAAAAATTAAAATTTTGGGAAAAAATTTTTAATTTTGACGATCTAGACCGTCCGATCTGGAAAGTTAAGCAACGGTGAGCTGTTTTTTGTAACTTTTGAAGTAGTTATCGGAAAAATATGATTAAGGTGTCATTCGACGTGGAAAAATCAGGCGAATTTTTGAAAATATTTTTGAAGGGGTCACTTGAGTCTGACGTCGGAATATTTGAGTCTGAATGCTAAAATCAGTGGAAATGAATATAAAAAATTCTCAAAATTAGTGGGAATATTAAAAAATAAATTTTTAAGAAAAGGACACTTGAGTCTCATTTTTAAATTTGAGTCTGAGACTGAAAATTTTGTAAAAATTCTAATTTTCAATACTTTTCTGAAAAATAATTTTAATGTTATTCGCGATCCTTGAACGCGTTGCCGGAGGCAACCGCCAGACTTTAAAATTATTTTTTGAAGAAATCGGAACGGTTGCAGAAACCGCGTTGCCGGAGGCAACCGCCAGAAATTAAAAATATTTTTTAAGAAACGGAACGCGCTGCAGAAAACGCGTTGCCGGAGGCAACCGAGGAGGCAACCGCATCAAGAAATATTTTTTAAAAATTCGGAACGCGTTGCAGATAACGCGTTGCCGGAGGCAACCGCCAGAAATTAAAATTATTTTTTGAGGAAATCGGAACGCATTTGCAGAAAACGCGTTGCCGGAGGCAACCGCCAGACTTAAAATTATTTTTTAAAGAAATCGGAACGCGTTGCAGAAAACGCGTTGCCGGATACAACCGCCAGACTTAAAATTATTTTTTAAAGAAATCGGAACGCGTTGCAGAAAACGCGTTGCGGGAGGCAACCGCCAGAATTAAAATTATTTTTTAAAGAAATCGGAACGCGTTGCAGAAAACGCGTTGCCGGATACAACCGCCAGACTTAAAATTATTTTTTAAAGAAATCGGAACGCGTTGCAGAAAACGCGTTGCGGGAGGCAACCGCCAGAATTAAAAAATCTTTTTAAAAATTCGGAACGCGTTGCAGAAAACGCGTTGCCGGATACAACCGCCAGAAAATAAAAATATTTTTTTTAGATTCGGAACGCGTTGTAGAAAACGCGTTGCCGGAGGCAACCGCCAGAAATTAAAAATTATTTTCTAAAAATTCGGAACGCGCTGCAGAAAACATGCGGGCCGAAGGCCCGCATGTTTATTTATGACTTAAATTCAAAAGTTTATAACTTTTGAAGTATTAGACGTAGAAAGATGGTTGAAGTGTCATTCGATGGGGAATTAAATGAGGAGTTGAATGAAAATATTTTCAAAGGTGTCACTTGAGTCTGAGAATGAACATTTGAGTCTGACGTTTTCAATTCCTGGGAAATTGATCCAAATTAATTTAAATTAGGTGTAATAACGCTGGAGTCAGCCTTTATATCCAAAAGCTATTAAAACTACTCAGCAATTCGCGCCGAACGCTGGTTATCTATATATAATAGTAAAAAGGCAGTCAGCTAAAAAAAAGTCCCCAGAGCTTTTGAGTGGGTGTATCGGGGTGGGGTTTTTTGCTATAGATGGGAAATTTAATGTAGTTTTCAGGAAAAATCCGAAAATTGGGGGTCAAGAAGCGAAAAAACGAGATATTTTGAAAAAACGTGTTTTTTCGAATCTTTGAAGTGAAATTTGAGATAAAAGATGAAGTCGGGGGAAGTTGGGTCAGTTACAAGGTTAAATCTACACTATATGGAGAATATGATAGAAAAAGAGTTGAAGTCGTTCGGACAACTAGAAGGGTAGATGTGCTGTCCACAAGAATTTATGTCAAAGTGGTAACTTTGAATTTAGGATATTTAGAGGGGTCTGATCAAAAAGTGGTTGGGAGAAAAGTTGTAGAGCTTGGTCGACTTCTTAAGAAAAAAGTTTGTTTCAAGTTGATTGGATTAACAGAAAAAAAGATATGGAGTAAAAAGTGCATTTTTGAGTATATTTCATAAAAGTGACCTTAACTATGTTTTATTTCAGAGTTAGACGAAAATTGTTGGGAGATGAAAGATAGAGCTTTAAATTCTGCATCGTTTAAGCTTTGTTTTATGCATTTTAGACTTTTTTTGAAAAAGTTATGAATTTTTTAAAAAATTAAAATTTTGGGAAAAAATTTTTAAATTTGACGATCTAGACCGTCCGATCTGGAAAGTTAAGCAACGCTGAGCTGTTTTTTGTAACTTTTGAAGTAGTTATCGGAAAAATATCAATGAGGTGTCATTCGACGCGGAAAAATCAGGCGAATTTTTTAAAAATATTTTCGAAGGGGTCACTTGAGTCTGAGTGTGGTATATTTGAGTCTGAATGCTAAAATCAGTGGAAATTAATTTGAAAAATTCTAAAAATTAATGGGAATATTAAAAAATAACTTTTTAAGAAAAAGGACACTTGAGTCTCATTTTTAATTTGAGTCTGGGACTGAAAATTTTTATAAAATTTTAAATTTTTACAACTTTTTAAACGTAATATTAAGAGTCGTAACCTAGTGCGATAAACGCGTTGCCGTAGGCTTCAAAAATTCGGAACGCGTTGCAGATAACGCGTTGCCGGAGGCAACCGCCAGAACTAAAAATTATTTTTTTAAATTCGAAACGCGTTGCAGATAACGCGTTGCCGGAGGCAACCGCCAGAAATTAAAATTATTTTTTGAGGAAATCATAAATCATTGCAGAAAACACGTTGCCGGAGGCAACCGCCAGACTTTAAATTTATTTTTTGAAGAATCGGAACGCGTTGCTAAACGCGTCGCCGGAGGCAACCGCCAGGCTTAAAAAAATTTTTTAAGAAACGGAACGTGTTGCAGAAAACGCGTTGCCGGAGAAAACCGCCAGACTTAAAAATTTTTTGAAGAAACGGAACGCGTTGCAGAAAATGCGTTGCCGGAGGCAACCGCCAGAACTGAAAATATTTTTTAATTCGAGACGCATTGCAGAAAACATGCGGGCCGAAGGCCCGCATGTCGAATTTATGCTTAATTTTAAAATTTT